TCCTGGCATCGCTACTAGGAGCAAGGACGCTACTAGGGGCTCCTGGCCCTACCACTAGGAGCAAGGATGCTACTAGGGGCTCCTGGCCATACTAGGAACAAGAAGCGACTAGGAGCTTTTTCCCGAAGTCCTGAGCACCAATCGTTCAAGGTCGTTAAAGATCTTCACTCGCCCTGTGAGATTGCTTGGCATCTTCCGAATGACATGGGCGGACTGGGGAGCTTCCAATCAACTCAACCGATTGGGGATCCTTTGGTGTCTCGGACCGAATCGGTTTCGACCTTTCTCCAACAGATGGTGTTTCCACCCACCTCGTGGAGTGCGTTCTCTCGTTGCGGATTCTCGGTGTGACACATAGTGTGACAAGAGGTGCTTTCTCTCTGTGAAAGGGTCAGCTTTTCAGTTCGAGGATGTTCGAAGAGGACGGCACGTCGACTAAGTCTTTGCATCCCAATTCTAGGACATCGGTCTCGGACCCCTGGCAGCCAGCAGCACCTGGTTTGCTCACTTTCTGGGCGAGTTCGGAGGTTTCAGGGAGATTTGAATCTAAGGAGTATCAATCTCTAAGACCTGTAGACAACAGGGTTGTGGACCAACACACCCTAAAACACCCTGGATCCCAGAGATTGGCAGGTCCAGGATTCTCTGCAGCCCTGGTTCCTCTACGGCGGCATGCTCTTCGTGGTGCTCACAGTGTCCGGTTGGCCCAGTCGGTCCGGCTGAACAATAGGGGTCACGATGAGGATGAAGGAAGGAAGGAAAAGAAGCAGCCAGGAAGGAGCAGAGGTTTTGATTTGGAAGATGGTCGTAGAAGCTTCATGGCATGTCGTGATGCTGAACCAGATTCAAGGAGATCAATTGGCTAAGCTGCGAATCACCAGCAGACAAGGCCAGAGCGATGTTTGATGCCATTTGATGCATTCTCCAGCAATCACGGAAGCCGAAAGGGGGGCGGCCACGGTCTGCACCACTTCCTGGTTGTCCAAGAAAGGGTAGACAGTGAGGACCGGCTGAAGTGCCCCTCAGTTTGAAAGGTGTGATGATATGATTTGGGTGTATATAATATAGATACTTTCTCTCTCCTAGGAGCAAGAAGCTACTAGGGGCTCCTGGCCTTACTACTAGGAGCAAGGACGCTACTAGGGGCTCCTGGCCCTACTACTAGGAGCAAGGACGCTACCAGGGGCTCCTGGCTACGGACTCCTACGCCTTGAAGATCCTTGAAGCCTCAGTTTTTGGAGTCAGGTCATATCTACAAGAGTGGGGCCCGGAGCTCAGTCGGGGCGGTGGGCGGTGGGTAATTCTTCCTGAACCGGACCCCTGCAAAAGGCAATATGCATATAACTGTATGGTTAGACTATGACCCCTTGATGATTTACTTTCACTTCCAACCCCTTCGATAGGTCCATGTGGTCCATGTGGCTGATTGAACGGTTCGTTGTGCCCCCCCTTTTTTTGCTAAAGCAAAGAAAAAACATCGGAAAAAGTATGCATGCCTGGTGCCTCCTAAATGTATCACAGGACTCGATCGGCCAGAAGGGAGTGACCCTGAGACAAACGACTCCGAAAGCCGTTTCAGCCGAGGGGAAAGTCCCACCGTTAACAGAACCGTTTCCGAAATCGGCGGTTCTGGAGCCCGAAATCTGGGAGCCCGGCCCAGCGGTGAGTAGTTCCTCCTTTGCCGAAGGGCTCAACAAGTGCTGCAAGTGCTGAGTGCTGAACATGAAGATCTCCCAGTGCATGGCCAATCTAGAAGCATCCCTGAGTTCAACTAGGCCCTTTGGTGTTGAATCGGCAAATCGGCGCGTGTGGCACCACAGATACGGACTCGAAACGATTCACACGTAGCGTTTGAAATCATTGGAAGTAGTCTTAAGTCTTGGCCCAGTCTCAACCCGGTAGGGCCGCCGGGATTTTCACTTGAGCAAGCTAACATATGGCCAGTGGATCAAAAGCAACATTCCAAAACCAACACTCGCTCCAGATGCCACATTTTTGCCACTAGAGGAACCAAACCTATGTGCGTGGTGCAGTTTTTGAGCAAAAGCAGTTTGGATTCCCCACCGGAAGTCACTTAGTATACATGACAGTCCATCTCAATCCGCTGGCTCACCCGGGTGTAAGCCGGAACATTCAGCTCGCCATATGCGAAGGGATGGAGTCATACCTGACCATCCACTGAGTCACATGCAAAAACAGTTTTGCTCTCAATAGCAGCGTGAAAGTGTGCATCGGATCCATATTAGTTAAAATATTTACTATATAATATAACTATACATTTTCTTGATTTCGTTGGGAATCATATGAGTTCCGGGCACAGGCATGTGGCTTACCCTGTGTCCATTAGGACATGGAGCATGCTATATGTGCAACTGTGCAACACCATGGTACACTTCACAGCAGATTCTTCTGCCTAAACTTGGTCGGTCATGCTGCTTGGTTCCGTGTTTGGTGCAAGGTAGCTCAATGACCATTCACTGAATGTAGATATAGATATATATATATATATGTATACAACACTTTTTCAGAATTGGATCAAAACCCAAGGGGTCCATGAAGGAGGCTGATTTGACTGTTGTGCAGGTCGTCCATTCCGTGAGCTTCCTCACCCCTGTACCACCCCAATGTACCAACAAGATGGCCAGCTTGGAGTGGATCAGGGACTTCCAAACTACCAGAGCTGGGGAGGTTACTCAAACTTTGGAGATTCCATGTTTTCAGCAAGTCCACCAGCTCTTCGAGGTCGGAAGCCGCGGGAGCCAAACGGAGTCGAGCTCGACCGGTCGACCGCCGTCTCTCGAAACGAGAGTCTCCAGGCTCCAAGTGGCTGCACGATGCGCCGGTGGATCTGGTCATGTTGCAAAAGGAAGGATTGAAGAAGGACCCCGAGGAGCCGACGAGTCGACTCTCGAACGTTAAAGCCGGAGAATCGAGGTAGACGAGTGAGAGGTAGACGAGTGAGACGATGTCATACAAATGCAGAACCAACAATTTTGCACCAAATGACGAGGTTTCACCATCCAATTCGGGGGCGGGTGATGAATCAAGAGTCTAGATTAAGCTGGAGGTCTTGCTGTTTCTATTGGTATTGTGTGTTTGACCTGTTTGCGTGACATTGGCGTCGCTTGATGCATCTCCTGGGTAAAAGGGTTCAGCACCTTGTGTCGCTTCCCACATACAAATGGGGAGCCGGTTTAGCCAAACAAGCAGCGACGACTGTGTGCGCCTGCAGAGTGTGGCCTATTACCAGTAACAGTTGGGAAAAGATAATCATCACTACAAGTTGTGCATGGGACAATTCATAACCTTTTGTTGGAATAGAGTTTCCACGAACCTGAGCGGAAATCAACCGCTCGCCTTTGGCTCAAGGCTTAAGGAAAGAGGCGGTAACCTGCTTTTCGTGGTTATCAGCCGTAGGCTCTGTTTCACTTGCCATCTTTGTTCCTTTGTGCTGCTTGTATTTGCATACCAACTGGCTTTGAGTTATCTCGCCTTGGTTAACTGCGGCAGCTGATCAAAGGAAGCTTGGCATCCTGGATGCCACGGGGGGAAAGGGGAGGTCAAAAGACTAAACGGGCGAAAGAGTTGGCACGTTTAGCATCTGAGGGCCTCCACCAGCCGAAGTCGGCACCCTCTAGCGCTACCGGGGTTGCGAGGGTCAGTAGGATTGAGCAGGAGATAGCACTTCTGTATACTCAGCCGAATCATCCTGAGAATCCACCAAGGCGTCCAAGGTCACCATCTAGGTCACCACTTCGAGTTACACCTGTGCCAATTGAATCCAGTGTTGTGTCTTCAAGTTCGACAGCTGTTGGACCTGTTGGACAGCCCAAAAAGAAGTTGAGGTTGCCGTGCGGTGAGCCTCAGGATTCAGAGGTTGTGACTCAAGAAGGGGAATTGGTGGAAGTAGGAGTGGAAGAGGAGGACTTGGTTGAGGTTGAGGAGGAGATTCCTCCAGTAGTGGTTACCCAGGCCAAGTTGAGATCAAAGGCAAAGGCAAAGCCCAAGCCACTTGCATCTTCTCCGGCTGCGACCCCATCCGAGGTGAGTGCACCAGTGTTGTCTGTTCCAATTCCTTCGGTGTTGAAACCAAACCCCAAAATTCGAAGTACTGTTGCTGCTGAACCTGTGAACCCGAAATCTGAGAGGACTACCACGTCGGGTGTTGGGAAGGGAAGTCCAGAGTACAGGGTTTCCATTGACTATAACGGCGTCTTGAACGTGTCGCAAGCTGGAGATTCTGAGTGCGAAGGGATTCATCCTCACAACGTGGAGTTTTTGAGACAGTTTTTGGCTGAGCAGTCTCCTACAGGCTTTAAGTTGGGGATCACGTCATACATCGGTTTGCACGGAGCCCATTCGAAGTCAAGGAGAGACAGTTTGCAGACAGCTGTGAGAGAATTCAACAAGGATCAGCCAGAGGGTCAGAAGTTGGGACTCCGTATTGTGTCAAAACGTGACAAAGGAGCCTTTTTGCAGCACACACAGTGTTTTTATCACATTGACGATCGTTCGGATATCTTGGACGGTGTTTTGTCGCCAATTCGTACCGTCTTGATTAGGCCTAAGGGAAACCATCCCAGGCACACTCGCAGGAACTCACTAAGGGAGGCATTGCAAGCAATTGCCAGGGAACGTGTGCAACCTGTGATCCCTGAGCGATCTTTTCGTCAATTGTGGTTGGAACTTTGAGGGACATCTCAGAACCTTGACTGAAATTGCCCTTGCGCCTGGCGCGGGAATTCACCCCAAAGGTTGAGTTGTCTTGGTGGGAATTGGTTGAATGGAAGAAGATTCAAGCACCAGCTTTCAGGTAACAACGTCCTCATCTGATCCTTCGAACCAAGCATTTGGCATAGCAGCAGTTGTTGGAGAAGCCGATCGAGAACATTCTAGTGAATCGAGTAGTAGGAGAATCCGTGTTCGTAGATCCCCATCATTCCAAAGGAGAACCAGTGGCTCACCGCATCCAGCGTCCCAAAGACCCCCAAGGGGAAGGATGATGGTTCCGGCGGGTTCACCGGCGGGTTCACCGGATAGCATGGAGAGGGGAACAGTTGAATTGTCGCTTCCGATACCTAGAGCAGTTGATGTGGCAGCAACCCAGGTCTTTCATGATCAAAGGTCTATTGATGCAACCATGCAGGCTTCACGGGATCACACGTTTGTTGATGCCAGGGAATTGTCTAGCCAAGTGTATCATGACCAGAGATCAGTTGCTGTTGATCAAAGATCGGTTACTCTTCACCAACACGTGCATAACCCTGATCCACAGTTCATTGGCAACTTGGCTGCAACCGCGGCGACCTCAGAGCTCGAAGCAAGAGCTGCCAGTGCAGTGGCGGACATTAGAGTGGAAGCCACTAATGTGGTGGCAGGGGCACGGGCGGAAACGGAGACTGCAAGGGCACAGTTGGAATTGGCGAGGCAAGAGAATGCCACGTTGGTCCAACAAGTGCAATCGCTGGAGTCGGTTAGGCAAGAGAATGCATTGCTACTTCAGCAGCTTCAATCAGGAGACAGTAATGCTACGGGAATCCATGAGCTTCACAAACAGTTGTTGCATATCACCGAACGTTTGGGCCGAATGGAATTCAAGATGGATCAATATCAACAGGCTACCCAAGATGCTTTGCAGGAAGTCTATCAGTTGATCCCTCAGGATTTGAATATTCCCCCTGGTACCCCGGTACATCGGTTGGATGATGATGAAGAAGAAGAATTCGACTTGTTTGGTGGAGCCGCGAACACTGGTAACGGTTATCCTGGTGGTGGTGGTGGTGTCCCTCCGGTTGGATTGTCTGAACAGCAAGAAAGGGATGGTTCGGATCATCCTGGAGATATCGAGAGCCGATGCCTTAGAACCAAGGATCTTCACACTTTGAAACTGCCAGCACTCCCAGAGACGGCGAGCCAGTATCGGTCATGGAAAAACTCAGTGAGGACGATGATCTTAGCTTTTGATCTCTCGCCCGAGGGATTGATAAGTCAATGGTTGACTCCTGCATTCAATGCACGTGGGATGGAGATTGAGAAACTTCAGGTATCTTCGGACGACTTTCCGCGCCTTGATAGGGTCCTCGCGTCTTCGTTGTGTAAACCTGAATCACTTCGCTCTATCTTTGGATTGAAAATTCAATCATACGTTGAATCGTGCGAAGCTTCTGGTGAACAAATCCGAGGTAGAGTGATCATCAATCTAGTTGCCACAGAATTTGATACCAGTGCTGCTGCGGGAGCCATCAGCTCATCACTTGAATTGTTTCAGCTTCCAGCGCCAGGTGATAGTGCTTCATCGTTGAGAGCGTGGAGGGACAAAGTGTTGTATATCTTGTCACAACTCCCCACTACGCAACGACCCAATGCAGACCTCATGTCGCAATGGGCTTACTCAACATTGAAACGTCACCCGTTGATGCGTAGAGTCATTGATCAGTATCATCTCTCGGCACTTGGTTCATTCCAACGATCGTTCGAAGCCCTTTGGCAAGGTGTAGACGCAACTTTGCTAGAGGCACAACATGATGCTAATGCGCAATCAATCAGGGACGATCTCAAGCGAGGCCCATTGGTTGGAAAGAAGGCCAACGCCATGCCAGGAACCAAAGGTGACGGGAAATCCAAGAGCCCCCCAGGTCAAGGCAAAGGCCCCCAACCCAACAAGTCCTCCAAGGCAGGTAACTCGACAGGCAAAGGTAATGGCGGCAACCCCGCACCCGCCAAGTCAGATGCCAATCAGCCTAAGTCGGCGCCTAGTGGAACAGGCAAAGGCAATTCCAAGGCAAAACCCCTCTCACCCGCAGAGAAAGCCAAAAGCGTCTGCATCTACTTCATGAAGAACAGGTGTATGCGCGGTGACCAGTGCCCGTATAGCCATACCATGCCTCCATCCACTACTCCTCAGCCCAAAGCCAAGTCTTCAGGGACTGGTTTGCTTGCCAAAGCGGCGGTGGCGCTAGTGGCCACCGCGCCCACCGTCACGGCGATGCCGTCCGCGCCGGCGCAGTATCTCGATGTTGTTGGGGACACAGGTGCTGGCGAGCACCTTGCCTCCGTCGAGTCGCTGGGACGACAGGGCCTGAACGTCGACTTGTTTGTCACCGACACGACTGCTCCAGTTCACTTCCTCACCGGAGGGGGACAACGGAGTGGGACCCAAACTGTTGGACTATGGGCTAAGGAATTCGATCGTCTCCAGAACTACTATTTGCTTCCAGGTTGCCCCGTCGCCCTTTCTATTGGCCAACTTGTGCAGAATGAGGGATATTCCTTTGTATGGCAACCCGCTTTGATGCCCAGGTTGATTCCCCCAACTACCCAGTGCCATGTTGCAATTGATGGACCCCTGTTGGAAGCGACCCGCATTGAGCACCATGTTCCCATTTTTCGTTTGACGGTGGATGCTACCTACGGTCTTCCGGCTGCCGCTGCCTCTGATGTCCACGTTGGGGGGGGCGGGGCCGATGATGCAGTTCTTGTTGATCCGGTTGTTGGTTCTGATCACCATCCTTCGGCTGTTCCGGCAAGCGATGAACCCCCAGCATTTGAAGATGGTTGGGATGTTGACCAGGTGAGGCTGTACCTTGAAGAGGAATCCAGCCCTGCGCCCGGCGCGGGTGGATCCCTTGGGGTGGAAGAGGAATCCAGCCCTGCGCCCTGCGCGGGTGGATCCCTTGAAGTGGAGCCCCCAAGTGTCGACAGATCATCGGTTGACCAAAGTGGACATAAAGAGGGTGATGATGAAGAGGTTGAGCATCTGTCTAGGCACCACCTGATGACGCACCTACCGAAATCTCGATTATGTGACACTTGCAAGCAAGCAAAGTTGTATGAAGTACCTCACAGAAGGGAAGCACATCAGAGCAAACACCTCAAAGCAATCAGAGCTGCTGAGGAACCGACATTCTTCATGGAAAAACTGTCATGTGATCATATCATTGTCAAGGATGAAATCGGTCATCGGGGGGAGACATGCACTTGGGTCATGGTAGACGTGTACACTGGTTTTGTCTCAATGGTACCTTGCAAGACCAAAAGCGCTGATGAGATTGAGATGGCAATCCGACGGTTTTGTGGGAAAAGGAAACCAGGGATAGTTCAAGTGTCATCGGATAGAGCGCCCGAAATCAAGAAGGCGCTCAGGAACCTCGGATATGCTAGTGAACCGGCAGCCCCGTACCAGAAGATCAAGAATGCACTTGCGGAGTCAACCATTCGAACCATCAAGGGCATGACGTCATCGATCTTGTTGCATTCTGGGTTGGAACAACAGTACTGGCCTCTTGCTCAACAATACCTCGAATGGGCTTACAACATCACAACTCCAGTCCGGGGTCTGGAAGAGGATTCAGGTGTAGTTTCCAAGTACGAATTGGCTATGGGTTACGACATTGAATGTTTGAAGGTTCCGTTTGGCGCGTTGGTTTGGTACAAAGAACCATTTCATGCTACTTATGCCCCGAAAGGTGAACCGGCTCTGTTTTTGGGAGCGGAGTTGGTTGATGGAATGCTCTTCAAGGGCAATTACCGGGTGTGGCCTCTAGAGCACTTCAATCAAGGAATCTTCAAGGAGTTCGTGTCACGGTCACTGGCAATCCCCAATGGGGAATGGCGTTTTCCAGCGCGCATCGATGAACGCTTGCCAGAACAGGACCACATTGAAGTTGCTGAGAAGGATATGGAATATGAACCTTCTGTCGCACCCGAAGCCTATGACGACCACGACATCCAAGGTGAACCCAGCGGACTTGAGGACGTTCCCCGTGGCGACTCAATGGTCGAAGCGCCCAAGTCACCCGTCGATGCCGCTGAGGAACCCGCTGCTAAGGAACCCGTTGCTGAGGCACCAGTCACTGAGGAATCTGGGACTAAGGAGCCCGCTAAGGAACCAGCATCGGGCAGGACACGACGTCACCGATCGATCACAGATCTACGAATAGCTGCCTACGGTAAAACCCCTGGTTGTGATGGGTGTGCATTTTCAACATACTATCATTCCAAAGCTTGTAGAAAAAGGTTCGACGCTTTGTTGGATGAATATGAGCCGTCGTCATCATCTAAAGGGAAACCGTTGGGTGGTGTTGCGCATGTTGATTCTGATGCCGAAACGGTTCATGACGATGACTACTTGGCACTGACCACTCCTATCACAGGCAAACAGATGGAAGGGATCTATTTGGAAAAGGGTTCCGAAGTTGTAGCATCCATCTATTTGCAGGAATTGGAAACGAATCCAAAGGCTGAGGATGAACTTGCTACAAAACTTGCTTTGGTGATGCATTCGTGCACCGAACCCCCAAAGAAGAAAACTCGACCAAAGGAGAAGTGGTTTGTCGAGTTTTGTTGCTCTGAAAACAGTTCGTGTTGTAGAGTAGCTGAAGCATGCGGGATACCATACCTAGGTTTGTCCGAGGAATTTGGTGACCTTCGTGACCCGGTTGTGATTGAACAGGTCATGTACTGGTTCATTGAAACTTCAGCGAACGGCGCAGCAATTGACCTGTGGGGGTCAATCCCATGTGGCCCTTACTCACCACTCCAAAACCTTAATGTGGCTGTCCAAGGGGAGTCATATTTGGAAAAGTTGGATGACAAGCGCTCGGATACCTTGCTTTTGTTGGATCACTTCTGTCAGCTAGCTGAGGTAGCGGTTGAATCGGGGGGTTCAGCGAGTTTCGAGTGGCCGTTATGTAACGGGGGGTGGAAGGAGGAAGAAGTCGTTCAGATGATCCTACACTTTGCCATGTACTCATGCTACCCTTCAGGTTGTGGTGTGTCCTTGGAAATCAATGGGCTACATCCTTTGAAGGAATGGCGTGTTGTGACAACATCAAAGAGGTTAGCTGCTCATCTCGACACATTTAGGTGCAACCATGGACACGGTCATGTTCACGATCCGATCGAAGGAGGATCTATGGCGAAGAAATCCGGGATCTACAACACCAAAATGGCGGTTGCTATCCTGTCAGCCTTGAACCCCGAAAAAGCGGTTGAAGGAATCCCTGCGATGCCTACCATCCATGGTGCCATTGCTCATCAAGAGCGAGGTGTGTTGATGGCTCAAACTGTGCTAGGAATGGTTCACACCCCATTGTCACGTCAAGAGTTGTTCAATCATCCCCAAGGTCGTGCAAAAATCAAGGAAGAAGCTGACGAAATGCGTGAGCTTCATGTTTGGGATGATGATGAAGTCTACGAAGTAGAAGAACTCAGGGCTACCGCACGCAGGGAAGGATGGAAGATACATATCGCAGAAGCAATGCCAATCGGATCGATTAAGAACTCTGAAAGCACAGACAAGGCTAAGTTGAAGGTCCGTCTTGTTTTTCGGGGAGACGACATACGAGATGAACACAACCAGTTGGCTTTGTTTAGGGAACTCAAATCGATCCCAGCTACGATTGCAACAGTCAACTTGATCCTATGGTATGGTTTGCGCCCCAACCATGTGGTGCAGATTGCTGACGCCAAGAAAGCCTACTTGCAGGCCCCTATCCGGTCAGATGTTCCCACGTATGTCATCTTGCCCAGGGAGGCATGGTTGCCCCATTGGTTTCGTAGGTTCAAGCGTGTAGCAGCAAGAGTGCACAAGGCCATGTATGGTCACCCCACTTCAGGTGATGACTGGCAAGAGTATCTCACTGAGATCGTAGTTGTGCACCTCCAAGGGGATCAGGTTGAAGGTTGGCCCTCGCTTTGGCATATCAAATCGTTGAATGTCCTTGTTGCAGCGTATGTGGATGATCTAGTTGTTGCTGGCCCTCAGGAATCCGTTCCGGTGTTTTGGGAGCTGCTGTCGCAGTTCATCATGGTTGACACCATTGAGGCACCAGGTCGGTACCTAGGCAGAGATCATCTCATCTTCGAACTTGGGGGGGACGTCAAGTCTTCATGTCTATGTGCGATTATGCTGTCACCGCATACCGCTTATATGAAGAACAGTTTGGCAAGACTCTTAAGGTGTATGACACACCGTTCGTGACGGAAGCCGCACTGATGCCCCAGGGTTACGAAGAACCAGGACAGTTGGCTGGCAAAGCCGCTCAACTGTTGATGAAACTTCTATGGCTAGCACGCCTATCCAGACCTGATATAAGCTTCGCAATAACATCTTTAGCTTCACACATAGCCAAATGGACTCGCAATCACGATTTGATGCTTTTTCGGTTGCTTGGTTACGTCAAGGGATCAGTAGACTTAGGTTTACTAGGCAAAGTCTCAGCCAGTTGTTCGGTTCCCCGCTTGGACCTGTTCGCTGACGCCGATCTCGCCGGTGACCCTCTTACAATGAAGTCTCATAGCGGCCACCTGATCCTGTTGCAAGATGACCAAGGAACTGTTTTTCCGCTGTACTGGGCCGCAAAGAAGCAGGCATGTGTTTCACGTAGTACCACTGAGGCGGAAATCGTTTCTGCATCGATCTTAGTATTCGATGAAGGTATTCCCATCCAATCGGTACTGACTCTGGTGCTCGGTGAAACCATCCCAACGTTTCTTCGGGAGGACAATCAAGCGGCAGTGACCATCATGATGTCCGGATATAGCCAGAAACTACGAGCCCTCAATCGTACCCATCGTACCTCTGTGGCAGCTTTGGCAGAGGCCATTCAGCACGGCCACTTTGAGGTCGTTCATACTGGGACTAAGGATCAGTTGGCTGACATCTTTACTAAGGCACTCGGACGTCAGCTGTTTCTGACGGCTCGTGATCGTCTCTTGGTTGTAACCAATCCCCAAAGGAACCCTCAACGGCAAGCAAACCAAACCACGTAACTTCACCAGGTTGTTGGCCCCAGCGCTTGCGCGGGCAACTTAGGATTGGCAATGGTTTGCAGCTTCTCTGCAGTGGCTTCTCGCACTGCAGCACGCTGCCGGTTCTGCTGCCTGAGAGTTTTCACCCCTTTGCTTTCACCCTTTTCATTTTTGGTACATGCTACAGCCCATTGCACTGTGTAAAGACAAGTCCATACCAAACTCTCCTTGACCAAGCACAACGCCACGGCAGATCCCTACGGACTTGTGCCCGGGCAAGTCCACTGGGGTTGTTTGGACCTGGGTTTGCTGATCAAGGGGGGGACAAGTTGTGCATGGGACAATTCATAACCTTTTGTTGGAATAGAGTTTCCACGAACCTGAGCGGTAATCAACCGTTCGCCTTTGGCTCAAGGCTTAAGGAAAGAGGCGGTAACCTGCTTTTCGTTCACTATTTGTGAGAAAAGCATTTACTAACTTCATCATCCACTGTTACTGGCAGGGATATACCCAATGTGCATGTGATATTCTTTAACTTCGTTGATTTCCTCATGTTGCCACCGTGTTGCCATCTCCAACAGGAAGAGACAGAGAGTCTCCCGAGATGTCTTGAGAAGTTCTTGGCATTCATCCGGGACGTTCCTGACTGCCAGTCAAGAAACAGGGTGAGAGTAGAGTGTCTTTCCTCAACGGTGGCAGTACACTCCCCTAGCAACAGTTGGAGATGTTCACGCGATTTGTCACTGGGGGTGAGTGTAATCTATTCTATCTAGTCGGAAAGGAGATTAAGTCGTGAGCAGTTCAGTCCAAAGCCTCGAGTTGGCTTGGGAGACAGATCTGAACGCAGGGGGCGCATTCTTTCCTGCAGAAATGGATCTGGTTTGTAGCGAACTGAATCATCAGAAAAGATCAGACCAACACTGAAGAGCTACAGTGCATGGACACCTTTGTGACCGAACTTTTTCGATTTGACACCCAGCAACTTTCTGCCCACACCAAAGGGAGAACCAATAGTGGCCCTCTCTCGCTCTCTCGTTCTCTTGCCCTCTCGCCTTTCGTCGCTTTGCGCGGTTTGCGCCCACGCCTTTGCTTCGCAGGAGCAGATTGTGATTTTAAGCAAGTGCTACCCTTCCAGGCTGGGCTGACCAGATGAGCCACATAAAGGCAGATCGAAGGGTCTCCGTCTTCCTATCCTGATACCCCAAATGGACCTGTGATGAAGCAGTTCCGACTCACAGAGTCACAACTGCTCTGGTCTGATTCTTTTCTGGGGTGCCCAACACTCATGAAGAAAGAAGGAAGAGTTAAGCCAGTTAAGCATCTAGAGTCCTAGAGCTGGATCTCACACCATTCAAATTGTCAGAAAGGATGGCCTCTCCAATAGAGGATCTTGGCAATCCCCAAGTTGTTTTTTTTGGCCCAGCAAGGGCACCACCGGTTTCACCGGCAGACGCCCCGACCAGACGCACCGCGGGCTACTCCCTGCTGAACGAGCGGCGCGTCGTCTCGGTGAACGAGCGCGCGGTGCGGAACCTGCGCGAGATGCCGGGGCCCCTGGGCGCCCCCAGGGCACCCTCCGGGGAGGGTGGTGGATGGGAGGTTTCTGGAAATGCCTGACATGTCAGGAAGGTCGCTTTTTACATGACAGGAGAAGGGCCCGGAAGAGACCATGTTTGGCTTCTTGGTCGTCAAAGGATTGCAAAATGTATTGTGGACAGAACATGTGCAGGTTGATTGCTGGATAAAAAGAACAATAAGATGGAATTAGTTTGTTTGGCTTCTAATTGTTTATATTTGTTTGCCGGGAGAAAGTTGCAGAGTCCCAGTACGTCCCAGTGCTTAAAGCCCTTGCGGATTCCAGAAGATTTGGAACCCCATTTCACGCTTGCAACGGAACGTGAATATGACAAATTGATGTCACCCCAATGTATCATTCTATATCATTCTATACAGGATATACATGTGTTTATTTTTTCAATTCTTTTGTGGGTTTGGACATTGTTTTGAGTATATTACATCATGATTAAACCAGACGATGATTTCAACTTTACTTCTGGAGGGATGTACACTTTACCTATCGTGGATGAAGACCGACACTCCGTGAGTGGGTTCAGGACCAGCTCATTTGTAACATGTTCGTTCGATCCGTGACCCCATCTTCTTCGGGGCTTCGGGCAGAGTGGTAGTGGTTATGAAGTGGACGGGGAACTCCCCCATCTTCTTCGGGCCATTCAATTCAAATTCACTTCATAACTCATGGGGCTCTCTCGATATGACTGCAAACAACTTGTCAAAAGAGTTGGCTCTCATGTTATACATAGAATTTGGAAAAATCTAAAAGAGAGGAAGAGGAAGAAACAAGAACGCTAAATGCGGCTACAGAAGAAGGGCAACCCAAATCCTACACCAATAACCTGAAAACCAAAGAAACCTTCATGATCTTCATGGCTTTCACCAGTTTCCGTGTGGACACCTCCGTTGGATCCAGGTACGGCTGGATCCAGCTGGAGCCCCAGTTGGGCGAGAAGCCCAAACGGCCGAAACGGTCTCTGCGAAGACGCGCAGATGGGATAAATATAGACCACCAAATACCGTAGATAGAAACGTTGATCTCCACCAACAACGTATTGGCAACCGCGCCACTTCCTATATTTGGAGACCACTATGATATATCAGGTCTCACCCCAACTTTACCTGGGGAGACGCTCGAAAACTCGCGGCAGTGGTGAAACCAGCTGCAGAGGAGGAGCCAAAATCTGCGCTGATATCCTTCCGCGATTCTTTCCACTTTTCCACCGCCCTCTTGTGGCTGGTGAGCTGGTGACGGATCCACCGGATCCCACGGATCCCACGGATCCGGCCTGAAAGTAGCCTAGCTACACCAGGGCTGACTTGAGGAGTAGCAACTTAGTAGCAACCTGATGTTTCGGCAGGCCACTGATTTGCCTTTAACTGGCCTTGAATGCCTTCAGTTCAGCTTTCCCAAGACCCAGGCCCTCGCGGTTTCCGAGAAACTACTGGCATGCCACCTGTTCTGTATCCTCCTGGTAGCACGAACAACCTGGTTATCGTTGATCTTCACTTCTGGTATGCAGGTCCTGCAGGATCCAAAACTTATCAGGATTTTTATGAGTAAAGCCGATGGTTTGCAAACCAAAAGCGAGGGTTTGGAGTTCCTTGCGCAGCTCATGGCAGCTCTGACTGAACAAGTTCCAGGCAACTCCACTCCACGGAGGAGTTCATCCACTTCAATCTGTTTGGGAAGCCCAAATCAGTAGCTGAACTAGCTCGTCAGCGGAGATCTTTTTGCTGCACACTGGCTCTCTTGAGCTGGCTAAAGGGTTGAGGGTGTCCACTTGCCCGCTCTACACTGAGTTAACCGCCTGCTACAGGGGTAAGGCATAGGTCGAAGAAGCCAACTCACCGGTGAGTTCGCATGCAGACCTGCAAGGATCAGGCCACTTGAGCCGAAACTGGACGGGCGACAGGTCCAAAAACGAGAGCGATCGGACCGGACCAGCAACAGGTCCTGTGTGGGCAGCGACATGCGAGCGGCCGTCGCCACCGAGACCGCCGAGGAGGTGAACCAGGACGGTCTCACGGGTCCACAGGCACCGGCCGGGGGGACCCAGACCGGTAGACCGGTAGACCTCACAAAGACCTCTGGGAAGGGTACATAGACTAGACTATACTCCATTGGGCCAGGGTTCCAAGACCAACACACCATGGAAAAGGCACCAGTTGTGCCCCACAGAGTTTGGAAGATCAGGAATTGACGGGACCTTGTGCAGTCGTCGACCACGGTTGGAGGAGGATGCTCCATGTGTCGGAGGATTGCTCCATGCGTCGGGTTGAGCAGCGAGCCATTCGAAGTACTCCACGGTGTGTGTTCAAGACACCCAGAGACGACGAATGCGACTGGGATATATCTCTACATTGAACCCTTTTTCAACCATAGGTAGATGTGCCAGTCCCATAGAGTGTCTGAGATGACATGTTCCAGACTCATGACATCCGAGCAAATCAATGCAAATCACAACAAAAAAGCCAATCCATGGTCCGAATTGCACCTCCAAAAACACCCCTTACACCTGAGGTTCCGACGGACGCTTCCCACCGAATTCGCGCTCGGCGCCGATACTCCGCCCGTCCGCGACGCGACGCCGAACGGGCGGAGGACGTGATGCGGGTGTATCGTATCCCTGCGGATGCCTCCCTCGATTTGTGGGGAGCCCTGGGCCATCCTGGGCCAGTGGGGGGGATGTAAAGCAACTTGAACCAGTTGGCGCAGGTGGGGGAAAAGGACCATGATGCGTTGGCGCTTCCGGATGCCCTGTGTTTTCTTCTGCCGGAGATGGAAGCGATTGAACACCAACCAACAGATGATCCAAGTCTTCTGGAGATTTGCGGCAAGGGATCCAACATCACATTTTTCAGGATTCATGTTCCAGCTCCGAACCCACCCGGATTGCACGGTCGATTTTTTCCAGCCGATGGACCAGTTTGGCCCACAGAACTGCCCGGCTCAGCCAGCCCGCCTTTTCAGCAGATTTCAGCTCGACCGGACGTAAGCTCTGCCGCCCTTCAATTGGTTCGTAACAGATGCCCCAACTTTACACGAGGAAGAAATTCCACTTGATTGAAGGCGTTCGTGGTCACAGTGCGGCGCGAATGTTCACCAATGCGGCCTTTCCCTTGGAATGGACGCGGAGTCATCCCTCCACCTTTGAGGATTAGGCCGGGCCTATTATTTGGATATCAAAAAGAATAGACAACAATATACTCAAATAATCTTAAATATTTCGAATATTTACATATTTGGAACCTGTATCTTCCACAATCTTTGACTATAATATTTTATTTTGTTGTTCTTAAGACACATTTTTAATGAACCAATATGCTCCTGTCATTTGTGACATGGGACTGCATGAGGTAAATCAATGGTCGACGCAATCCAGTCTCAATCTTTTTTCCAGTCATGTTCCCGAACAAGACGTGGTTGTGAGTCATGTTCCACCGAACATCCATTGGAATAGAGATGGGTATGACACCAGGGTTTCATGCCACAGGTAGGGATAGACTGATCTAAGGTGCCCTGCATCAGCAGGCCATCGATCGTCCTCCCACCAAGAATGGGTAAAACCTGGCGACGATTTGTTGGAAACTGAAGACCTACTGACCCTCCTCCTCCTCCTCCTCCTCATCATCATCATCATCATGATCATCATCGTCATCCTCATCCTCATCCTCGTCCTCATCCTCATCCTCATCCTCATCCTCATCCTCATCATCATGATTTTTCACATCGACATCCACCTCCGCATCCAGATTGCATGGCCTCTGAATCTAGATCGCATAGTACTATCATGTACTATGATTATTCTAATGACATCCCTCGCAATTTCAATGTGTGTTCATGGAGATCCGTAAGTCGTGTAGGGTAGTCTATTATTGGACACCCATTGGATGATCCTGGTCTAAATGGAAAGATACACCAGCTGCCCTGACTCGAGGCGTGAGGGCTCAACGTGAAGGTCGACACTTGGCGTCCGGATGTCCCAGCACGACTTTGCAGAGATCAAAAGCAGGCTTGCAGAAGCAGCCCCAAGGAAGTGCTGGACGAACGATACGGACTTTTTGGGTGCCCAAGCTGGGCTTTGATGTTGATTTGGTGGGTGTGAACTACCAGGGCCAGGGTGAAGGGTTCGACCAACACAGGTGAGGCAGTGCTGAGCATGGCGTATTGGATCAACACGTTTTGATGGCGAGAGCAGTGCTGAGCCGTGCTTGTCACAGTGCTGAGCTCACTGAGCTCACGGGTCAAACCTGATGTCCCAGATTTTGGCCCCGTTTTGTTGCACCGGTTGCCTCTACGACTCTACGACCGCTCCAAGATATGGGTTTGTCCTATTATATAACAGTCGTTAAACAAGAACATCACTTTTTTAGAGAAAAGCTTTTACCAACCATCATCATCCACTGTTACTGGTAGTAGGATAGACCCAACCAATATCTTAAAAAAAATACATACGTATGTATATATATATAAATAATACTTAATTCTCTTTGAACAGTCGTTGAATCCTGCAAGCACCCAAGCTCTGTTTCCCAATCGAAGTTGAGGACGGTATGTGACTGTCCGTGCAGCACGAAGTCGTATCTCTATGCCTTCTCGGGGTCGAGAGACCAGCAAGATATAACATGACAATGAACAATCTGTTGGTTTTCAGGGTCCATTGGTATGGTTTTCATTGCTCCGTTCCTTCCTCGCAGGCTCGCTCGGTCGCTTCTCTCTCCGCTGTTCGGCTCGGTCTTATCTCAGGTTTCATCGCTCCAACCGCCTTCGACGCGACGGTCGCGCGCGGAGAAAAGACATGTTCCGGTATGAGGGTGCATGGGCGCCGGTAGGGTGGTACGGTAGGGTGGAGGTGTGGAGCACTGAGTTCTTGTTTCGTTATCCTTTGGCCCAGTCAACAAAGGGCCTGGTCCTCAAGAGGAGACAAACCAAAGAACTGTGGAGAGAGATGTGTGTGTGTGTGTGTTTTACTTTTTGTTCTGTCAAAGAGCTCAAAGGACACCCGATGTCTTGCCCGGTTTCAGCACCTGACCACCTCTTTGAAAGCACATGGTGTGAGAACCGATCCAAAGGTCTGGGCCCGTGGGCAGGGGGACTGCGGTTTCCATCCGTTTCCCAGGTCGGTGTGTTCTCTCCCTGGAACTAAGATGGAAGTGGAAGGCCCATGAACCCACCCTGTTTGTAAAATGGCCTTCCTTTCGGTGCCATGCCATCCACTTCCATGTTAGTTCCAGGGAGTGCAAGTGGCAATTTTCGGGATAAACATCCACGATCTGAGAGCTCTCCCCTTCTTCCAAATCGTCGGTTGCACATCCAAATTCAATGGATCGCGCCAAATGAATTCCTTCTTTTGCTTGATTGTCCCGTGATCAATCTTGAACCTAGGTGGTCGTGCCCCAGATCACATGGTAGGATCCTTCATGACTTTACGGTTTCGGTCCAAGGAGATCCTTCCATCGTGTCAGGTGAAGGATCCCGAGCTGGTCTTGGAAGCCGTTCGCCAGGACCGACGGCTAAGCTGTCACCACATGACCTCCATGTGTTACTGGAAGGCTCCGGAGGTTGAACAGCACGGCCTGGCCCTATGGCCATCTATGGTCTATTTCTCCATGTGTACCCCCTCTAGACTCTATCTAGTCCGGTAAGCTCAATCCAAACGAGTATTGGAGTACTCCAAAATGATCTATGCTTGGTTGATGAGCAACTAATTTTGCAATCCTCATCTACCTCAAGAACCACTTTCTGACACACAGACCAAGGACACCACGGTGGGTTCACCGTGGTTTCCCACGGTGGTTGAAGTAAAGATCTACCAGGTACCATGGGCAAGTGGGGCCTTTTCACCACTTTCAAGACCACCATAGCGACATTTCCCAGACACAGCTTATGGGACGCCTGCATTGAGCCCTTTGCAACCCCAACTCATCGGCCCATACGGCAGTCCGGAGCTCGTTTGGGGGTCCCTCGGTCCTCCGGGGTCGGAGTCGGGGCCCCAGGACTGGCGGGCCATTTTCTACGCCAAAGAGGTGATGCCTCGCGAGGTGGGTCGAGGTGGTCAAAAAACCTGCAACCCGTGGTTTCTTCCTTTTGGATTTTTCCATGGTTTGGTGACTTGACTGCAGTGGACAGTCCCCCAGGGTCGCCTCTTTTGGTTGGCATCCATTAAAAACTCGGCCGCTAGCATTCATGGGATGTTGGACGTTTGTGTTTCATCGAAGATGTAAGTATCTCAGGAAAAGAAGCATTAACCATCACTTGCCTTGTCTGGGAAAAACCTGTTCTTTTTGAGCATTCGTTTCAGTGAAGATATGTGGTTGGTGCATCACAGGTGGTGCAGAATCTTTCCATCAATTACAGAATGCCACTTGCCAGCAGTGATCACTTCTCAGCTGCTTCCCAGAAGACGCCTTTTCCTTTTTCAACCATATAATGAGTCCTCCTCATGATGGAGAGTTGAGAATTGTACTGTATCTATATATACTTACACATATTTCTTCTCCGACGATCCTTCTTTTGGGGGACCTAAAGAAACGATTTGGGCGCTCCAAAAAGAGGCTGCCACTTGTAGCAGCTCGACGCTCGCCACAGGTTCTCCGTCTCGTCTTCGGGTCGAAAGAACGAAGGGCCTCCGCAGCGGTCGGGGTGACCTCGGGCGGCTCCAGGCGGTGACCTCGGCGGTGTCCCAAAGTTGGAAAGCCCTAGGCGGCCGTCGCCGCATCGGGTCGATGAATCAAACCCCCCATCTCGAGGTGTCAGTTCGCATCTCCTGGGGATATAGGGAGGTTTGAAGTTATCAACAGTTCATGATACCTTGGCTGGAAGAAGAGGCTCGGCTCGGTTGATCCTTGAGGCCGTTGACCATCCTGTGGCATGTTATTATTTCTTTTTTTCGGACACGTTTGCAAAGGTGAGCCAATGTTTTCCAGTCACCCAATGCATCCTCCCCATGTTGTACAAGCTCATAGGACATGAAATGGACTTGCACCTTGGATTCTCTCCCTGCGCAGGGGTGGCATGGGTTTGACAAGCCACTCCCACTTGAAGTTGATTTGTACCCAATGCAGACTAGGCCTGACTAGGCCCTTTCTGGCTACATATTGATGGATTGTATTGACCTCTAGGCCACTGCTCTCCTAGGATTCCCGATGTCATCTTGTTAAAGGATCTGTAAGGCAGTACTGTACACGTGCCTTCTCAGACTGCAAGATTGATTTTTGATCCCATGTATCTTCAGTCAGATCGACTCCCTTTTTCCGCAGGCTTATGATCAGATATGATCAACAACCACGGGAAAGCAACCAAGCAGAAAGGCAGTGAGACAAAATACAGGCTGACTGCATAACAAAGCACAAAGGATCATTCAATCAATTCCAAACATGGTTTTATATAAGACTATAAGACTTCAATCGTGGCTGACTTTTCACCGGGATATAGGCTCGTCCGTCACACGGTTGAACAGGGTCCAAGATGAGGATTGAACTTGGCAATAGACCATGGGTAAACCACGTGCCAGTTTAAACCATCGTTGCCAGTTCGCTCAAAAGCCCCCAGGAAAGAGGGGAAAGAGGAGTCCCAGCGTAATGGCGTGATGTGATGTGAGGACCAGGCTGTGGCGGTACCATACCAGTCCTGCGCTTCAGAGATACGACACCTCCCGCAACAAGTGATCTGTATGGTGAACATTGGTGAACGACACCTCCCCGGAAAAAAAAACTCACACAAATCAACAAGCAAAAATCGTGGCACCTGGGCCACCATCGACCATTGTCGACCATCGAACATCATCGACCCACGCCACAACCACACTCCAGAAGTCGTGGCGCCCACGAATGATGCGGACTTAGCCGGGAGCCCTGGCGGGCGTGCCCTGGCGGGAGTTCAAAAACAAGAGCACCGTTCTGAACATCATTGAATTAGATGAATTTGGGCAGTTTGACCATTGAATTGGTTCAAGATGTCAGGGTTCAACTGAAGACCATTGGACAGGTCAGTTGGGTTCACTTGGAGCAAGGGGTGGATTGGAGCAAGACGAAGAACTCGAACTCGCTTGCCCTCGCTCGGACCCTGGACCGACGCGAAATTCCGAAGCACAAAAGATTGTCCAAAGAGGTCAAAACCATGCAAAACCCGTCAACACCGGGCTTTTGGACAAACACCTTCAAGTTCTCTGCTGGATTGGTACAGAGATCTGCATGTTTCTGTTGAGTTTCTGTTCAGTTTTGCTTCCTTCCTGTTGTTTCTATCCTTCCACAGGCTGCAGGCACGAGCCTCACAGAGACCAGCTTTTTGGATAGCTGTTGACGTTTGACTGTTTTTGTCAGGGCATCCATGGCGGGCTTTTCAAACGCCCACCCCCCTCCGCTGTGTTTGAGTGAGTCCTGCAGGCTCTGGGGTGACAGAGTGGTTTGCTTTCCACAGTGCACACATCCTTAGATGGATAGAAGATCAAAGATCCCAGCAATTTGGCCATGACAGATCCATCAGATTCTGTCTCATTGGGATCCAAAGGCTTTCCTGCCTTTCCTCAAAATCGTCGATCCACCTCGATCTACCTCGATTCTCGTATATCACGCGCCCCACCTCGCCGATCCACCTGGCACCTCGGATTCAAGGTGCTTGCAGCATTGACACAGTCCCTGCCTGGCTCGTTTGCTCCGGGTGATTGGAGTTGGAGAAATCGAAACAGATCGAACGGTTTTGTGTGCTTAGTTGTTCAATGCGAATGGAAGTGCAGCGACACGTACAGTGCAACTTGTACATATATATGTACCATATGTATTTTGGCTCAAGGATCAAGCGACTAGAAAAGGTGCGGTTTCCGTTCCGACGCTACGCCGCTTATGGACCGTCAGTGATAGCTTCAAACTTCGCTGATTAAGATCCACTCGCAGGTTATCAGCCGTACGCGCTCTTTATAGCCGTACGAGCTACACGAGACCAAGAACAAGACTAGTCA